GAGGATCAAAAGCAGTTCACAATTACATGGGAAAGACAGCAGAATACATTCACAGTCTTGATTCAGGGCTACGTCAATCCTCCTGCTATTCAATACAGGGACCTTGATTTTCTGGACATTCTGTGGAACGTTATCCTAGTGATGTCATTGTAATGATCGGACCTGGTAAATAAGTGGTAAGTGTTTTTGGATCCTTCAGGAAAACACATGCATACACAGGATCGTAGGTAAACCCTACAGATTCAAGGGCCTTCCATATCAGCAAAGCTTTTCAGGGTCCAAATGTCTGAGGCATTGAATTGCTGTACATTGCACTCAGTACTAAGAGGCAGTCTGGTGGGCCTTTTTGGATTTTGGAGACAACATATATCACACTTAGGTATACCATTCCAATCCATTTATTGGGTGAACTGGTACCAGACATGAAACTTTCTTGTTGTCCTTAATCTTGGCATGTAAAACTGCAGTTAAGAAAATCCAAATTTTCTAAAAGCTAAACCAGCAGGGATTGTTTTCTCTATAATAGTGTTCAATAACCAACACATTATTTATCATAATAATGGTCCTGAAGCATTACAAGATGTTATAAGTTTATTTGAAATCCAATTAAACTGAGTTCAACGTGGCTCAACTCTTTACAAATTATAATTCTAGAATATATGTTAAAAGTTTAACGGTTTTAATGTTCTTTCTTAATTACAGTGGATACACATCAGTTTAACTTTGCAAAAGGCAATGCTGGCATGGTTTACTGGGCCCTGATGTGTGGGGAGGATGCTGCCCAGCGAGCTGGCAGGTGCAGACCCACTGATATGCTCTGACAACCTCCTGCTGACTGTGCCACTGTGGAGCTCCCACCCCTCAGGCATCCCTTGATGTGAAGTGAAGCAAATCTACCACCAGAGTTGATATTGCAATTACAGGGATTCTCCCTAGCATTCATGTTCTAAAACTTATAAAAACAAAAACAAAAGAGCATACTTAACAGTTATGGTACTTCTCCCTCTCCAGTGTGGACTCTCTGATGTTTAGAAAGATTTGACTTGCTACAGAAGGTTTTTCCACAATGATTACACCAATAGGGCTTTTCCCCAGTATGGATTCTATGATGTTTGTTAAAATTTGAGCTGTGGTTGAAGGCTTTCCCACACTCCTTACATTTATACGGCTTCTCTCCAGTGTGGAGTCTTTGATGTGAACTAAGACCTGCGTGCTGACTAAAGCTCTTACCACACTCATTACACTGATAAGGCTTCTCCCCAGTATGGATTCGATAGTGTCTAATTAGGCTGCCTTTACCACTGAAAGACTTTCCACAATCTTTACACTGATATGGTGCCTCCTCAGTGTGCATTCTCTGATGTTTAAGGAGGTCTGAGCTCTGACCGAAGGCCTTTCCACACTTGCAGTCATAAGGCCGGTCCACCAAGTGTGTTCTGTAATGAAGGGTGAGGTTTGAGCTGTGGCTGAAAGCCTTCCCACATTTGGTGCATACATAAGGTTTCTCCCCAGTGTGTGTTCTCCGGTGTTTAGTAAGATTTGAGCTATTACTAAAGGCTTTTCCACACTCAGCACATATATAACGTCTCTCTCCTGGGGCAGGTTTAGAAGGAACTGATTCTGTACCTTTCTTGGAACCTGTGCCTTGAAGAGGGGTTTTTATTCCTCTTTCCTTTTCAAGGTTTACCCACTGCCTTTCTAACCTGGCCTCACATTTATTGGCAATAATCACAGGAATATCCCTTTTGAGTCCATCTGCAGGAGATTCTTCTTCAGAACTTTTCTGTTCATCTGCTGATTCCTCATTCTGGGCATTAGATTTACAATCTGAAATAATAAGTAGAATATGATATATCAGTTGTTTCCTGTTCTTAGGAAAAAGCTATTACAGGAGAAATAGGATCATCTGTGAGACTGATGGATTCTCAAGGGTGACTAAACATAGCTCTGTGAGAAGTCTCAGTATCACATAGATACAAATAAGTCATCATCAAATCTAGTTTCCAAGACTGTGCTTGCCCACAGCCCCCCTACCAGAAGCTATTATGAGTATATGACTCTTTCTGCCATGAGAAGAGCTTCATATAGGCAAAAACAGGCACATCTGGACAGCAACAAAGGAGATGGATGATGCTCAGGCAGAAAGAAACAAGTAAGAAATATTGCTAAAAGGTCAAAGTTGATTAAGGAAAATAAGAAGGATAATTAAGGAAGAAGAGGCCGAGTAGCAAACTCACCATACTCCCACAGAATCTGAATATAAAATCAGCATCCAGCCCATCTATAATCACTCCCATCCCAGATTCTTATTAATTTGAATGAATGCACTTTACCCCCAAGAGGGTTTAACTTTCATTTAAATTACATTGGCTATGTCTTATAATTCTTTTAGTTATAAAGCGACACTCACTGTTGAAATCAGATTGAATCAGTTTATCTTTTTTAGAACATCTCACTAGGCA